CCTGGTTAGAGAATAACTACCTGGAGGGGAGATAAAGCCCTGAGGCGTGGGGGACGTGCTGGAGCCAGGTAAAGCTCTGAGGCCTGGGGGACATGCTGGAATCCCCAGCACTAAAGACTCCTGGTTAAAGAATTACCTGGAAGGCGTTAGGACTCAGGCCTCACATTCCTTAGGACTTAGGCCTCACATTAAGAGTTTCAGAAACAAGTGAGGTTAGATTATTTCAACAGAACAACTTTAAAAACTACCTGCAAATAAACTATCTTACTATTAGGCTGTTTTCAGTTCCACAGTAGTTGCTACCTGCTGCCCTTTGGTAATCATGTTCTGAATTTTGCTGAACTGTCTTGGAGCGCTTTGATTCCTGGTATCAATAAAAAATAATTAATGGAGAAATTCCTTCCCCTCAGATGACAGAGCTTAGGAACTTCTTATCTTCTTCAAAGGCCTGGCATTTAATTACTACCAAGAAAGATTATAATTCAAAAGAAGCTTGGTGGACTTTTTTCACTCTGGCCAATTTAATAATAATAATAAACAACTAGGTTTTTAAAAAACTTTTGTTTTCACTTGCTGTACTTTTACTGTGTACTCTAAATCATATAAAATATGGAATTTAAAGAAGTAAAATATTAATTTCTCCATTTATTTAGTACAGTAGTGCTTTAGTATTATAATGGAATGTAGCATTTTGTCATTACCAATATTAATTAAAATAGATTAACATTTAATAGCTAAAAGATTCAGTGGTGTTAACCAGGTGATTTAACACAATTGATTGTCTCAGAGAAGTAGTGAAATTGTATTAGCAGAGGATAGATTGGATAGAATTTATGTGTAGAAATACCCATGTAATAAAAATTGACGTCACTTAAATCTGAACTTAATGAATTATAGACTTTAACAAATGTTTATTGAATGTATGTGTGTGTAAATTCACAAATGAATTTTCCTTGTTGACCAGAAGGAGCTGAGACCTTTCCACCAACCCCACCCCTACTTAGAGCATTTCCATGAGAAAACTAGTGAGTTTGAATCCCTTCTCTAACCTTTTCTTTTGGTGTGCAGGAGAGAATCTCTATGTGTATCTTTAGAAGCTAAGTTAGCCTCTTGTAACCTTTACAAGCAGACAGGTTTTTTCAGCGTTTGGGAGCTATCCCTTTGAAGTATAAACATCTAGGAAGCTAGCACTCTGCCTTCCAGTCACTGGAAGAGTTTAACCTAGGCCCTATCTCCACATTGTAACCATATGCTTGTCACAGAGATAAGAAAAGTTTTATTGTTCTCTTTATTCTTTGGATAAAAGCAGTTGGGTAAAACAAATGGGTACCCCAATAGGAGGGTGAACTGTGAAAGGATGTCCAGCAAAAGCAGCTGTCAAGCCCTACCACCTTGAGGACAGATGTATGTAGTAGATTGCCACTGCTGAGCAGTGTGAATAGGGTGGAAGTCCTGTTGTGTTGTTTGTTTTTCACAGATTACCTATAATATTGTCATTTGGACATGCTTATTCAATCATCAAACTGCTTTCTTTTCTACATTTTGTGGAGAGGGCTCTGTGTTGGTAAGGTTTTTATTTCCCACTCAACCCCCCAACCACACACAAACGCACACACAGTTAGCTTGAAGGAGTACACAGAGCAGAAAGATTTGACCCATGCCCCTATGGAGCTGACACTCAGAATATGCTCACAAATGGCTCCATATCACAAAGCAAAGGAGTCAAGTTGGAAAAGACAAAAAGCACCGAGACAGCAGAGGAGAGTCTGCTGAGGAGAAGAGGGAAGTCTTCCCTAAACACATAGCATTTGAGCTAGTTCTGGAAAGACAGGTAGGGTTTTGGCAGGCAGAGATGAGGTAAAAGCGTTTCTCAAAAAGTTGGAACAAGGGGAGTGAAGCCACAGAGGCAGAAAAAAGAGGAAAGTGGAGTGAGGTTGCCAAGGAAAGGGAAGCAGTAGACATCATAGAGGGCTTTAAATGCCATCCTGAGGAGTTTAATTTTTTTTCTGGGTCAATGGGAATCTAGAGATTAGTTTGTTTATTCATTCACTTTTAAGTGGAATTAGTGCAAGAAAGAGAGCTAATTTTCATAATGTGGAAAATTGGGAAGGGTAAAGATTGAAGATGTAACTATTTTGTATGCTGCAATCAATAGTTGTAGTGGTTAAGTTTCTGTTTCAACTTGGCTGGGCCTGGTTAAGTGGCTGGGCAGCTGGATGTAGTATTCCCCATGATGAGACTGGTAATCAACTCCATGGTGGAATCTACTGTGAGCAGCCAAGTAGCTGCTTTAGGGATGTGGTCTGCTTCCCGTGTATAAGTAGCAGCTTTGGAAATGGTCTTTAGCTTATGGCACGCTTGAACCCTGCATGTAGTCAAGTCGTCGTTCAGCAGCCTGCCATGCTCTGCTGACCTTGGGGCTTACAATGGACTTGAATTAATGGCCTGCCGTGTTGTTTGATAACATTTGGACTGAGCCATTTTATTGTCAACCTTGGGCTTGTTAGCCTCAGCAGCCAGTAGCTGCCTGAGTGAAGAGGTGCCTCTAGCTTCAGTGGGCTGGGAGCAAGAGACAGAGCTGAAGCCCAAGGTTGAGGGGCTTTCACTCAGACCCTAGAACCTAGCACTTTGAACTCAGACTTAAAGCCTCCAAAGAGAATAAACTCCTGTTTGTTCATGCCATCCCATTTGTGATATATTCCTGTCAGAGTGGCACTAGAGAACCAGAACAATAGTTCACATGAAAGGTGCTAAGGGTTTCAGTGAAGGTACTGGCAGTAAAAATGGAATGCCTGAGCTTTAAGATGTACTTGAGAGACCCATTTTTTTTTATAATCACATTGCAACCCACATTTATATTTTGTTTTCCACTAAAAAGAAGTGAGATGTATTTTGAACAGGCTAACTCTCAGACAGATGATGGCTTTGATTTTGTTTTTCTGTAGCTGCTAGGTGAGCTGATCCTGGAGCGACACAACTTTGCCATTATGACAAAGTACATCAGCAAACCTGAGAACCTGAAACTGATGATGAACCTTCTTCGAGACAAAAGCCCCAATATTCAGTTTGAGGCCTTTCATGTCTTTAAGGTAAAGTGCAAGTGAGAGAAATACTGTTGTGGGTATATTTATTTCTAGTTTCAAATGATAAACTCTCTACTGTTTACTAAGACCTTTTCTTTTTACTTGAGAAAAAATAAAATTGTTTTGTGTGATTGAGTTGAAATGTTAGAGTTCTTTTAATGAAAATCCATTTGTTTCTGAAAAATTTGCTAACTATTCCACATCTCTAAAAATGTTTCTTTTTCTCATGGAGAAAACAAGTGATTCTGTTTCCTCAGAAGTTACTAGAACAAATAGTGATTGAACTAGAACCCAAACCCCAAGTGTCAGATTTCTGAATCCTTTGCTTTCCAGCCATCACCCTCTTTGAACATTAAATAAAGCACCAAAGAAATATTTAGTAGTAGTACTATTTTTATTACTTGTTTAGAAGTACATTTTTTAAAACATATTTTGCTATGACAGAAAACTAGCCCCTATAATACCCTTTTTCTTCTTTCTAGTATTTTTCTTTGCTATAAGAACAATAAGATCATCTTTGAGGAACTTGAGAAAATAGATAAAATGGGATAAAAATGTAGGGCAGGAAGAGAATGGAATCCTGCCTCCTAAATGAGCTGTTGGGAACATCTTAGTAATTTTCTTTTCTTGTGCGTTTGAGAATTTTCCCCACAGCTGTATTCACACTAAAGTCCTGATTTTAATCATGTAATGCTATGCCATAAGTAAACATTTCTGTTCTATAGTTTTGTGTTTCTTTTTTTATTTACTTTTATTGTAGCAAAAACATACACAACAAGACATTAACTAACATAACAACTTCCACACTGATAGCTCAGGGACTTTGTGGTGACATTTTCATGTTATGCCACCATTATTGTTATCCTTTTCCAAAATATTCCTCCACCATTAGCATAAACTCAATGCCCTGTAAACAAAAGCTTCCCCTTCCCCCTCCCGCCTACCCCCTGATAATCAGTCATCATTTTCGTTTATATACATACATAAATATTTTGTTGTTGTTGTTACCGTATCTAGCAATTTTCCCCCCATCCTTGGTTACCAACAAAGAAATTTTCCTTCCATATACAAACCTTTTGTTGACTTTTTAAAATAGTGGACCAATATGATATTTATCCTTCTGTGATTGTCCTATTTCACTCACCATAATATCCTCCAAGTTCGTCCACGTTATGTAGTGTTTCACGGATTCAACATCATTCTTTAGTGTTGCATAGTATTCCATGTGTGTATGTACCAGAGTTTGGTTATACATTCCTGCGGTGATGGGCACTTAAGTTGTTTTTGTCTCTTTGCTATTGTGAATAGTATTGCAATGAACATGAGTAATATCTATTCCTGTCCTGGCTCTCACTTCTTTAGGATATATACCTAGTGATTGTTGTTGTTCTTGTTATTATGTGCCACTGAGTCAGACCCGACTCATAGCAACCCCTCCTTGGGTTTCCAATGCAGTATCACTACGGAAGTACCTTGCCCAACCTTCCTTCCGAGGAGTGGCTGATGGGTTTGTACCGCCAGCCTTCTGGTTAGCAGTCAAGTGCCTTAGCTAAATCAAATGGTATTTCTTTTCTTTTTTTTTTTTGAATTGTGATTTGGGTGAAGATTTACAGAGATAATTCACTTTCCATACAGCAGTTCACATATACTTTGTCTCATGACATTGACCACAGTTTACCACAATGCAATAGCTCCCCTTCCACTTCCTCCCTGTAGTTACCTCTTCCCAGTGTCCATCCCTCCATACTCTCCTGCCCCCTGAGCTGTCTCCTTGTGCATAGGCAGCCCTTCTTTCTCAATGATTGTTCTCTCCAAGGAGTGTATCTACCTCAGGTAAATGTTCAACTCATATGCCAGTCTTCTGTTTGGCTGGAAACCACAGGTGTGGGTTCAATTCCAGACCTGAAGGGCAGCTAGGGGCCATAGTCTCAGTGGTTCCACCGGGCTCTATCAGACCAGCAAACTTGGCCCCCTCCTTTTTCATTTTCTCCAAATGATGTTGAGTTTGTTCCACATTGTTCTCCCTCTCTATCAAGGATCTCCTACATAGATCCCCTTCCAAGTAGATGACAGTGGTAGCCAGGCACCATCTAGTTCTTCTGGTCTCATAGTCATATAGGCTGCAGATTGGATGGTGTACCAGTTGCTAGGACTAATTGTTTCCATGAATTTTGGTTTTCTTCATTCTTCTTTGCTCTGGACGAGAAGAGACCATTCATTGCATCTAGATGGCAGCTTGCTAACTTTTAAGATCCCAGTCACTACTCACCAAAGTAGGAGGTGGAACAATGTTTTATATAGTATGTTATCCCAGTTGAGCTTGATGTCCCCTGTGACTATGGTCCCAAGCCCGCAGGTTCAACTACTCATTCCCTTGGGTAGCTGGCTGTGACCAAGCAGAGACACAACCTTCCCCTTGTCAACTCTACTATACACCTGGGAATTCTGATCATTCACATAAGCTTATAGAACCACTGTCTGCCAACCCTATATATGTTCTTGGATACTCCCCATTTCATAGACATACCTAATCATTCAGCCTGTCTACCCATCTATCCACCCATATACCTATGCTTGCCTTCACTGATAATGCAGTACTGTATGTGCAAAAGGGTTCATATTTGTTGTCTGTACCTCCCATGTACATCTTTCTGTCTTTCTCATCCTCAATGGTGCCATATTGGTCATTCACATTTGGTACATTGCCCTTCTCTTCACCCAAATCAATACTTATCTCTATCTATCTA